CTACTCTCGTAACGTGTAGTGGCCATCATATTTGTTGGAGACATCTTGAGTGTAGTTTTAACCCCACATTAGTTCTTGAAAGGTAGCATTGTTCTTTGATTATGAAGTTCTTCTCCTCTCGACCCCAGTTGGTATCGAGGGAGTGTATCGTCTGGACTTTACCAACTGCAAGTATCTTAGTGACAAAGGCCTCGTTCACCTGGCTAACGTCAGGGGCTCCCTCCTGGAGCTGGAGCTGAGTAGTTGTCCCTCCATCAGCAGCTCTGGTCTCCCGTATCTCTACGGTCTGTCCAGACTCCAGTACCTGGGACGGAGAGACACTCCAGGGATCAGATACTGCCCTGGATGCCCTCCTGGGAGCACTGCCCCACTGCCAGATTGACTCCTGACATGTTTCTACTGTGTGTGTGTGTGTAACTGTATGTCTCTCTCTCTGTGTGTGTGGATTGGTCACAAGTATGGCTCGACATTCAAATTTTTATAGTCGAAAAACTCATTATGTTATAGCGAAAATAGACAAGAAACCTGCACTCCATTTAGACAATGACACAAGAGTAGTTACAGTATTGAGATTCTGAAAGGCAGGATTAGCTATGTATTACTGGCGAGCAACCTACAGATATATATAACATCTCTGCGCCGGTGGGAGATATGCGCATGCGTAGTAAAAATGGGCGGGTCTGCATGCAGCTGGATACATGCATTTGGGCAAACGACGAGAACTACGACCGCCGCGTGTCCTTCTGTGAGTGTGTGCAGTCGGACAGACGTCAAAAGTTGCACACGGGAGACACGGGAGACTCGTTCCAGAGGCCATGGCAGCAGCGGTGGCGACAGTTCCTTTACCACCACAGACATTCACCGTGCCATTCACAGCAGTCAGCAGCAGAGAGAGAAAGTGCGGACTGCCTCTGAAGAGACGCTATAGCGAGTCGTCCAGGGAAGAGGAGGAGGGAGAGCGAGGTGGAGTGGAGTGCTGCTGGCCCGTCATGTGAGTGTGGAGATACATACGTATGTACGTTACATGCGTGGTGGAGAGAGCGTGGGTGTTGGACGTATAATATACACGTGGGTTGGCTCACTGCATGAATGTCATTACTGACTAACCTGATCATTATATCAAAGTACGATATCTCCTTAACTTCTTCATCCCAAATTTCCTCGTGGTCAGAGTCTCTGGTGATAGCTAATCCCTCCTACGTATGTATATTTGTACTTTACCACAGTGGTAGGCTAGTAATATCACCACTCTGCTTGTAGATGAATCGTGGTAGTCAATGTATTATAGAGGGCGTGCATTTGACGTCATACCGTGATTATGATGGCGATTTGCTAGATGTAGATGACGTAATTGCCCTATATGTGCCCATTTCCCATGAACATGGAGATGCAGTGTTTCAGCCCATCTGGAGACTCATTGTGTTCAGCATCCATGACCCATTCTTGTTCATACTCCAGCTCCCAGTAGCAGCCATAGTCATCATGTGTAGGCTTCAGTGTCCTTATAAGGTGGTAGAACAGGAGCCTTCGTTCTCCAACAATGTCCATGGTTTGATGGCTCACCATACAATCACCATGTCCTTGCTGTGGTTATACACGTGATGTGGTTGTCTTATAGTGCACTCTGTTGAGGTCTGAAATTGTCTGTCATCTCATACCCAGCTGTTACACGTACAGTACTGCTAATGGATGGCCGCAGTTCTCCAAGAATGCCACATTATGAAAGTGTAGGATATTTATAAGACCATTGACCCAACCGGCTCAACCAACACCTTACCCTACACATGTACTGCCCAACTTTGTGTGTTTCAGTATGAATGATGTTAGAGATTATACAGTGCTATTCACTTTGTTGCAGCAGCCCATATGCTGACACTCATTACCTCCTCCAGCCAAGACAGGCGAAATCACCACGAGTCATTAACAACCCCTATCTCACAGCTTTCTTCTTGCTCTTTGGTGAGTAAAAGGAAGAGATTACACATATCAAACACTTGCCAGGTCTACTTCTATGCATAATTAACCCTCGGCGCGCATGCGCAGCGAGGGTTACAGTAGTTGTCTGTCTTTCTGTGTGTCTGTGTGTCTGTGTGTGTGTCGACACTTATTCTGGCACTACAGGCCACAAGGCTGCCTATTAGCAATACCAGCGGCTTCAGAACTACGCGAGCCTGAAAAATAAACAGGCGATTTTCCTGAGACGACTGCATTCGAGAGATGTGCTGTGAAAACAAGCTAAAAAGCCAATATTCATAATCCCACCGGCTCTGATCCGCTGCTTTACGTACCGTGGAGGCTCAAGAAGTCACAACGAAGGCCGTGTATCGACTCCCGCATGCTATCTGTACTACTGTAGCTAGCCCGTGTCAGACTCTCCACGAGGTACAAGCGTGGAGACCACGAGTAAACGCATACTCTTGGCCCAACCCATCAATTAGCGGTACCGCACATGCGCAGTTCGCCGAGGGTTTGCACTTTAATTGCTGCACTAGTTGTTTCTTGTACATCCCCAGGCAGTCACTCTCAGGAACTCTGTGGGGTGATAGTGCTGTAGAGAAGAGCACCAGTATGTAGTGTTTGGGGATTCAGTGCTTACTTGAAATTTTTTGGTCTTATAAACAACTAATTTAGTTACACCTGAGATCGGGTTACAATTTACTACAAGTAAATAAAACGAATTAAAAAGTGTGGAATATAGGGATGCCATAAAAAGCAAGGAGACAAGACAGGGATGGCCTAGTGAACGTGATGCAATAGTACAATAGATGATACTTTGAACTGATATCGCTTGCTTGTGTAAAATTTCCTCCACACAAGCCGTATATTGCCACGTGTGTGCTCCCTTGTATGATGCACAGCTACGATTATTTCAAAGCACATAGACAGTAACACCATCTACTCGGTTTTTAAGTTGTGACTGCATTGTGTGAAGTCTAAGACTTCTACATTTGCCACTGTTATACAATGCTGCGTTCTTGGCCATCTACATACAGAATCCTTTCACCATTGTCCTCGTACTTCACTAAACAAACAGTAAAGGTGGTGACAATATAGGGCTTGTGTGAAGGAAATTTTATACGAGCAAGCGATGTCAGTTCCAAAGTATGTAGCCATCATCCATTGTACTACTGCATCATGTTCACTAGGTCATCCCTGTCTTGTCTCCTTGCTTTTTATGGCATCCCTATATTCCACACTTCTTTAAATTGAAGAATTTTGTCTCCTTTTCTTTTTTTACTGCATTCACATGCATGGTGTGCATACGTATATAAAGGGGGATATGTTTGGGCATAAGCCCATAAAGAAAGTAACATTATTGGCTTTAAGCTATCGCCTCAGACGTTTTGCATCATTCACATTACGTCAGTGCACCAAGTTTCATTGTGAGAGGACCCAAGTTATAGGCACAGACACCATTTAAAAGTCTTTTTTTGCCTGAGGCTCTTTGTTGTTGTTTACAACCTTGTAATTTCTGTTTCGATGAACTCTTATCATGGTACATCAGTGTACCAAGTTTCATTGTTAGAGGACCCATCATAAGCAAGTTATAGGCACAAACACATTTTACAAGTTTTAATTGCCTGAGGCTGTTTGTTGTTGTTTATAAACTTGTAATGTTTACATTTTGTTACTAATGATGGGTTGCATGTGTGTACAAAGTTTTATCACTCTGGGTATTAACTTTACCCAGTTAGCACACTTTATTTGTCTCTATCATAATTATTACCTGGGGCTATATTTTTTTGTTTTTTGTTGTTTACATGTAAACAAAATTGTTTACGAAGAAATAAAAATGCTCTTGCACGACCTGTCCTGGATTCCAATCTTTGTGCAAAGTTTCATCTCCATATCTTACCTGGTTTTTGAGATACGCGTGTCTAAACTGAATAACAACAACAACAAGAAGAATTTTGAAACTAACTTTCTTCAATAAATCAAGTATCGATTTAAGCCATACATGCTCTTTGTGACGATACGGATCAGTCTGATGTGTCAAAAGGTGGATCTGATTGAAACATGAAAATCTCAAATGTATGGGCATAATGAAGGGTGACCTGTGTCATCCCAATATACTAAGTACTACCGTACTTATATAGTGATCATGAAATTCTCTCACTGCATGTCTGCATGCACCGTCTTCAGCTACTGTTCTGTTGGTGTAGGCCATACTGTTTTCTCTGGTTCATTTTTCTTTACAAAATGGTTACTTGTGGATTTCTTCCCAAGCAATGTCCCTCCCCCCCCCCAACTGTCAACCCATTTTCCATTCGTATTTTTCTGGAGTACAAGTCACTCTTTCAACCTAGAAATTTGTTTTAAATTTTCGACATATTATTATGCCGGATATTACAGATGGTCCAAGGTGAGTATGCCATTGCCCAACCTTTTGCACAGTTCAACTAGGGTCACATTATGTAACTACTCCCTTCTGTCTCCAAAAGACGACGGTCAGGTCCACTTCTGCATGCAAGGGATGAGGTGAGGCGGCATCTTTAGAGATAGTCAGAAGTGACCTATTTAGTAGAGCACTGTCCCTTTTCCCTTTTGGAAGAGGCAAAGTAGCAACTCAGGGACAGAGAAAAATGACTAGGCAGTTTGCTGGTTGCTGGAGGTTTTGCATCACCATTTGGATTCCCAGGAGGCGATGTCTCACTTGTTGAGGTGACTGCTTCAGGGATCAGACTGTCAGAGTTTGTATTCACCATATATATTATTGGTGGAGAACGGTTGGAAGGTAGTAGACATTGGGAACGGATATTCCTTTTACTAGGCTTACTTTGAAAGCTACTGCAAGGGTGTGTATCGAAGAGTTGGCCGCTCTCATCACCTTCCAACTGCTTATAAGGTAGCTGAGAGTACTCTACTTTAAGAATGGGAAGAGGATGGTTACACCTAGTCTAGCTCGCAGACCCTCTCTCCAGTCCGCACACACGCGGGCCGTAGAGAGAGGCTCTGCGGGCTACACTAAGTTCCACCACTCCATCACTGGATGGACCACACCCACTAGAATGCACTTGCCAAGTGGGTGGAAACAGTGGAAGAAAGTATGTTGCTTCCAGTGAAGCTACATAAAACAGCAGCTGTTGCACGGTGCTTGGTTTTTCATTGACTGCAACAGTGGACAGTCACATTGTGTTCTTTGGGAGGACTGCATGACACAATATGTGGTTCATCACTGAACACTGGAAACTGTTACTGAAGACAAGAGCAGTCTGTCTTCAGTAACTGGACTCACCTTTTTTCTAATCATGCCGGCTCACTGGGAAATTGTGGGTCCGTCATCAGTGGAGTGTCATCTGACCTTTCTGTCTATCTCAGGAGTCAATGCTAAAAGCTTCAGGGGTAGGGTTTCAGGCTACTAGCTAACACTTTACGCATGTGCTAAGCGTGTGTTGTCATGGTGATTCAGCACTTGCACAGCCACAGCAAACATGGTACATAGTTTCAGTTGCACAATAAATATCTGTTGGCTCACTTGCTCCCTCCCTTCCCTCCCTCCCTCCCCTCTCACACACACACACACACACACACACACACTTGGCTGTTGCCATTCACACAGAGGACGATGTGATACAGGACTTCCTTTGGGTTGACTCCTGTGCTAAAGTGGCTGATAAGGTCAGCGTTGAGATATACATATTATTATACACACATACATGAGGGTAGGCAGAGATAATACATTTATCTGTGTGTGTGTATTTAGGTTTTTGGTTTGCTATTTTTCTCCAACATTTGGTGCACCCTTCATTATTATCCAGCCCCCTCCTCCCCTCAGGATTTCTATCATCCCCACTCCTGTTTTCTTTCTTATCACCTCAATAGATGTAGACTGTAAAACAAATGTGTGTTTTATGAGCGTGTAAAAACTAGCGCTGAGATTTGAAAGTTTACTAGTCCCCTCCGCACATGCCACAAAAAACAAAGACAATTTTCCTCCTATCAGTACACACCACCTCGTGCCCCTTATTAGTCCCATGTACCAACACTCACACTCGCCTCCCACACTCTGAATAATGTGTGTGTGTGTATTTACGATTGTTCGTGCCTCCTGTTGCCATCCGTCGTGTGCAATCACGTCCCTGGTTGTTTGCGTCCACCTTTCAATTTACATACGCCCTTGTCCTTGGTTACTCTCCCTAGAGCGTCATCTGGCTGTGACCTTATCTGTTTCCCACGTCTGTTTCGATAGCACCTACCGACTACCACTGTACCAACCCTTCCTCCTCTTCTTTCCGTGTTTGAGCTACCACTCTGGTTTTTTCACCGCACCAGCTGTCCACCCACGCTGTTTGTTTACGTTTACGTGCGTCCAGTTTATCTGTGTAAAGATTCTCACATATTTCCTACTCTTTTCCTCTTTTTAAATTTTTGTTTCCCCCCACCCTATACTATTATTCCTAGAGTATGCTCAGTGGGTACTTTATAGTTTAACAGTGTAGTCTGTAGACACAGTCTCACACCCTCTGTGGGCCAAAAACCAATAATGAGAGGAGGAAAGTGTGGGTGGTTGAAGGAGGAAAGAGGTAGGGGTGTGGTAGGATGTGTGGGCAGGTGGTGGTGAAATGAAGAAAGTGATGGAAAGGGAGAGGAGGCTTGGAAAGACAGAGTGAGGAGGGGGGAAGTGAGAGAAGGAAGTAGAAGGGTGTGCCGGTGTTAACATTAGGGGCATGAGAGGTGGGGACAGGAATGGTAGAGAGAAGGAAGGAGGAAAGACAAAGATGTAGAAAAGAGGGGAGCAAAGGTGTACGTATGTAGAAGCCTTAGACTCACTCACTTGGCTAATGTGTGGCTGAGCTACAGTGTCACACCTGTTTCAGGGCTGGCGCCAGAGCACACCAACACATGTAGTCACTCTGTAGTATCTCTTCATTTGTATTGGACACTGACCCAAATCTAGTAAACATGCTGTTATTGGGGTCATCTAACTAAGAGTGGTGTGTATATCTCTCTCTCTCTCTCTCTCTCTCTCTCTCTGCAGTACCTGCTGGCTATGGTGTACGTGTACTTCAGAAGAGCTCGTCTCCCTGTTGAACATTACCACAGGAACAACTTCTTTGCAGCTCTGTGAGTTTCTCACTTTACCTACTTTCTTCAGGTATACAATGTTACTAGCATGTGAAAGTCATAGAGTGTTTTCCTTGGCAAATGCAATTCTCCCTACAATATGTAAATGCCTACATGGAGAAACCGGGAGCAGTGCATGTGACATTCAGTGCAATTCACACGAGCACTTTCCTCGTGTTCTAGTCTACTTACGTACAAACAAAAATCGCAAATTAGGTTTGGCTTCAGTATGCGTGTTAGCGTTGCTCAATCCGATCCATAAACACTACATGTGTATACTTTATTGTGAACCTGTAAGCATGTGAACCTGAGTGTGCAATTCCCCATATATACATTGAGAAACAAAAGTTTACAACCATCCTGTGCATATTAGTGTCACTATGCATAATTTATACACGCAGAGCTGTTTGTAATGGACACAGCTATTGTTCTTCGTAAACACGCAGTATTAATTGATATTGAAGCTGGATGGTTGAGCTCATGCGTGAGAAGTGGAGCGTGGAATGTGCAGAGTTGACATTGTACAATTGTACAAGGAAAGTGACACACACTGCTCCAGGCCTTTTTGAGCAGTTTCCCACTGAGCTGCCTTGTGCTTGTGGCTGACCAGTGCATACCACTCTGAGGATGTCACTCACTCCACCGCACAGGGCAGATCCCATTATTTCAACAGGGGGATGTGGGACGTGTTTATACAGCTAATTTGAACAGGAATTGCCAGTGAGTGTAGTAGTGGGTTCAGCTGGCAGTGTACAGGAGGGCTGGTCAGGCCTGGAGGGAATGTGGTGACCTGACCTCCTCTCCTGCCAGGCCTCGTGTGGGAAATGTGCTGTTTCCACAGAGTTTTCCACGCTCACTTGTACAATGCACATGCACGCAAACCACTGAAAACATGTATGTAGCAGAAGGGAGTCCCCTGTCTTTGCTCCACTAATGTTTGAAACGAGACAGACGCAAGGAGTTGTGCCTTAATTACACACATCTCTAGTACATACACAGAAGTGCACAGATTCTTTTATGAACTGGAGGGTGCATATGTAGCAATATTGAAAATTGGGCTGTTTGCACAACTAAATGGGGTTGAAACCAACCAGTCGGTGATAGTCCTGAGCTGGGACAGTGAAGAATAGGGTAACCTAAAGCTTTCTTACAGAGAGGAGGTACAGGCCAACCACCACCCTGAATAGATTGACCATAGCTGGGGAGTAAAGAGAACCAGAGCACACATACATAATACTCTGTATATTAACTATGTACATGAATAGTGTAGTGCGAGTGGCTCTGGAAAATAGGGTGACGTTTATTTCCAAATTTGGGGTAGCACAGAAGGATTAGCCATTATAGTAGCTGGAGGTCTTAAGTGCAGCAGTGACAGTGAGCAAATGGGGGGTGTACCTGCCAAGTAACTATGCTGAATACCTTGGGGTGGAAATGGGTGGCCTAAAGCAAAGGAGGAATCACAGGCCAGCCAATTAGCCATATTGAAAATAGCTGGAGAGTGGAGTGCAAATAATATTCCTCAGCAAAAGAATATGGGAGCCAAAACATGTAACATTCAGCAAATAAATGGTGGCACAGCTTGACAATAGCTGCGGAGAGTGTACTATGTACATACTACCTGGCACCACTGAACCTGTGACGGACCACTGTCTGCTCGTCTCAGTTCCTCCCTCTATACCTTCATTTTTGCTATTGACACTGACCGAATCCTGGCAGTTTGTTAACAGGCAGCCATATCTGTCAAAATCCAAGTCTGTTTTTATACAAAGAAAATGTGACCCTGCTGTGTAAGTCTATACTTCCCCACACTTACACGTAGGACTGGTTATGTCCAGATGTTTTCTTGAAATTAGTTACTGAAGCACATAATCTCGTATTTGCTATTCACGACATGCAGTAAGTTCAAATGCACAGCACTCCCTCGACATGCGTGGTCTTCCTAACGTACTGTAGTGCCCGACACACCTTTCGAACTGGGGTGACCCTCGTTAAAATTCCACCTTTATGATGCCATGTACGTGCGGTGGTGTTGTCCTACCCATGCCATATACTGTGAGATGAGTGGTGGGTAGCTGAGCCGAGCGGCTAGGGCTACTGGCAGCTTCAAACACCCTCTAATGCAGTTACACTACCCTCCTCCTCACCCTCCTCCTCTTCGGGGGCCATGAGTCTCGTCTCTGTGTATGGAGGGAGTCTACAGCTTAGTCTCTTGGCTCAGGACTATACACCTGATGTTAACATACAGTTGTAGCTGATGCCAGGACAAGGTGCTGAGTGTGGCTTTGGTCCAGCCAGTCAAGCTGCCTCGAGATACGTACATCTTATGTTAACATGATTACCTCACATGTACCATACAGTTGAACAACAGTCTATTTCCCATGTGGTCACACTGTACTATTCTTGCATAGTGTGTAGGGAAACCCCCTCAATGGTAGAGATATTATTGCATATCTTTCTCTGGGGTATTATCCTAATCCCTCCACTGCCCCTCCAGTTACCTGGCTAATGATATGGAGGAGGACGAGGATGAGGAGAAGTACGAGATATTCCCGTGGGCCCTGGGAGAGGACTGGCTGCACAAGTTTCCCTCCTTCCTCCAGCAGAGAGACAGCCTCTGGTACCGCATGAACTGCAGGGCCGTCGTCAGCAGGAAGACCTGCGAGGAGGTCTGCCCTTACCCCTGCAATTATTACATGTCCCTGATTCTTTACTACTGCATTTCTGCTGTTATTTCGATGTTTGTAATATAGTCTTTGCTATGCCTACTTTGCTAATTGCATTGCCTTTGGGAGCTAGAGGTATAGAACAGTCCAGCAATGAAGTAAAAAGAGGCGTGTGTACAATTTAGTGTGCAACCTCAGCACAATACACAGGTCCAGTCTGCAAGTGTTCCCTGTATTCTGAATTGTATGTACTGACTGCACATGGGGTGTTTGCGTGTACAGCTGTGCTCCTTCTTCCTCATGGGACTCCCACAGCTTCACTTTTTATTTTTCACGCATTGCACTATGCTCCAAGTTTCACGCTTAGTGTTGTTCCCGGCAGGCCGTGGGACGACCCACTCTCCGCTCCTTATCAGCCGTGTTTTGTTTTTCCACTGCACCAGAGCGCACAAACACTGCCTCCAATAGCATTCCCTCTGGGACGAATCAGCACAGTGGCCCAGGGAGCCTTGTGTCCTCTGTGTATTGATGAGAGCCTGATAGCAGTGGTCCCTCGAGACTACCGCAGCAGCCCTACACCTGCCCTGGGACTGATTCAACAGTGAAAGTAAAAAAGGGGGCCAGTGATGGGAATCGCAATTTCAAAACAAGTTGGATTATTTGCCGAGAGAAGAAAACAAACTGTGGTGCACACCTTGTCGGCCATAGGCAGTCCACCAGGGACGGTGTGTGGGTGTGTTGTGCATACCAGCTGCCCTTTTTTTCACTCCTCTATTATGTACACTGTTGTGAGGGACATATTATGTACACTGTACATAATATGTCCCTCACAATAGAGTTTCAGGGTCCTGAGTCTAAGACAGATGTTAACAGTCGTTACACAAGTGTCCCGTTTACAGAGCTCCTCATTGTGTACTATGTACGTAGTATATTACTTATGCATCTCCCACATAATATAATGGCTGGTACAAATATGTATGGTTAGTCCTTGTTTACGGTATGCATCAGTGGATGTTTGGCGGAATTCACATGAATCCTGGTGTATTTTCTGTTTGGAAGTGACCGTGTGCCTTGTGCCAGTCAGTATAAAGTATGCACACATGACCGTCCCTACGTTGCAGTGTAGTAGCTACCCACTACTTGTTCATGTCCCAAGTGTATCTACTGACAACCCGCACTGTAGTACTCGAAGAAACTCTGTGCCTTACACACATGTTGCAATTGGTGCATTATGAGATGACACCAGGAAAACATATTACCTTGCAAACCCATTGTGCCATTGTGCAGGTGATAACAATGGCCCCACACCACCAGATCTGGCAGCGGTGCCGTAGGAGGCACCACGGCGGGGCCATTCGCTCCTACACCAAGCCCCCCGTCCCCTCGCTACGGGCGAACCTCGCCTGCCTACTGCGAACACTGCACCAGACTCTCCGTCCTTGAACTCAGTGGAGGTGGGAGGGAGATCAGGGAGGAGGAGGGGGAGGAGGGAGGGTGGGAGGTTGAGGGTGGTGGTGTGAGGGAGACTCCGCTGTTTGGTGACCTCCTGGATGATATTGACTTCTCAACTGGAGCTCTAGGAGGTGAACTGCTTGTTCAATTGTTCATATGACATGGTGTATTGAGTATTGAACTACATTGTGACATTCGAACCGTTAGTTTACTCTGAATGGTTTTAAAAACCAACAGTACATTATTTTTAACCTCGGATGTAGGTGCTGCCCATAAGCTTTTAGATTTAGTTGGAGAGGACCATTCCCATATTTTCAGGCTTGCCATGCAAGGCCTGACATACTTGCGTATGCTCTCCCTTGGCTGTGAGTTGAGAGTTAACATTAGGTCTTCCTACTGCCTACACTTCTTGCTCACGCATGACATATTAAGTAGCGTACATGTAGCTCTTACTGATTATATAAACTTATTAACGGAGCCCTGAGCAACAATTTGACACTGACCGCTTCACCAGCTCATATTCCCATTCACAGTCATGGGGGATTTAATTAAACACCCCCTCTGCTCCTTGTGATGGTTCCTGCATTGCAGCCCGACACCCAGGCCATAAAACCTCTGTGGGAAATACCCAATTCATTTTGTTTACTGGCTAAGAGACATGTGAGCGAACGGTTGCAGGCTCTACTTGGACGTGGTGGAGTCACGCACAGAGTGGAAGTGCATGCCCTAGCATGTGACACCTGTTTCTGCATGTGTGCATGTACCAACATGGAAGTTGCAAGAGCTTCACAATTTCAGTGTCATCACGCTACGTACTACCCGGCCCATGTGTTTCCAGGGGAAGCTCCTACTACTCGAGCCTCTTTCCTGCTTACTTTGAATACCTACAGATCTACTACATATATGTATGGGAGTTAAAACTGTGAGAATATTGCCATACGGATAGTGTGGGTTTTCTGTTTTCTTCCTTATCAACATACAATAGTCGTAAACAGTAGTTGTGCAAATGTGGGGTACAAGGTTCAGCGGCTGTCCCATGACATAATAGGATCAGCTATAATAATCAACTGTTTGTGTTCTGACCACACAACCTAGCGATGTGTATATACACCTCAACCACTGCCGTACTCTGAGACCACCTCCTTTCTGAAGACTGTGTGGCCGTTTTGTGTCCCTCATGGTGTGTTAAACGGGAAAACCCTATCCGAAGTGTGCCATTACATTTGCTCGTTGCCATTTTGTCGTGTGTCACACCATAACTCTCGAACTGAGTGGTTTTAGTGCACCCTCGTACGTGACTACCGCATGACCTCACTTGATCCTTATCAGATTAATCAGCAATGATTGAGGATCATTTTGATATGTCACTTGTGTGGATTGCTTACAGCAAGACTGAGTAATTGGGCAATAGAATGAAAAAGTGACCACTCTACTCTCTTGGCACTGTAGCTCTGTTGTTATCTCTCTTTGGCCCCTTTGTTGCTAGCCATGCAGTCTGGGGTTATTTCCACCGCTTCCCAATCCTAGTTGAGTCCAAAGTCACATATTGTACATCCGAGGGTTTTATGCAAGTCCTTCTGAGGGCTGTAATAATACTGGCATGCTCTTCATCGATCTATGTAAAAGCGATTGGTGACCAACAGGTTATTATAGTACAGTCATGAGCGAGCAGGTATATACATAACTGCCCAGCGCAGTGTGGGTGAGTGTGATTGTAGAGTGTGGTGTGTTTTTGTTTGTGTTGCAGAGTAGGTGATCGGTGGGTGGAAGAAACCTGGTCATTGTACTATTCCTGGCACTTCCTTATAGGACAGCCTCTGTTTTACCTTTTTAGGAGACTTTTTCCACCTTCTCCTTATATGGACTCCAGTTGTCTCATAAAACCCCCAGTGTGGTGGGCCAGATGGTGCACAGATAGTCTAGTCCAGTGACTACATTCCACTGCTTACCTATGTAATAGTGAGTCATAAAAAAGGAGTCAGGATACAGAATTACCGGGACTGACCCTGTCTATTACCTATAATAGATACACCATTGCTCCATTTGCCTGCTTTTTGCCATATGTGCACCAGTACGCATATGAGTGTATTGTACACCACAGATAGATACACGAGTGCATTTGGTAACCTCACTTCCGTGGGTTACATACATCCTCTCCTTTCACCCAGTTAGTGAGAATTGGTTGGTTCAAATGCCACGAATGATTTTCCCTTTTCCCTTCAATCTGTCCCCTTTCCCTACTGACTGTACTTGTACACTCTTTACATGTCTGACATGAGTAAAATGTGGAATTGGGATTCAGGTGAAGAATGCAAGCCACTTAGACTCCATGACACACACTAGCTCATGCGTGCAGAGAGATCACGTTTCCACTGCTACTCTACACACACACACACACAGTACAGCTGCTGGTGCATGAGCCCACATCCGGTGTAGTGTTACGTGAATACAATCGATTTTTTCTCTTGGGAAAATCAGAGTCGCTCTCTTGACCACAGATTTTGTGGAGGAAGTGGGGTGTGCAACACTAGTGTATGCTGGTAGCTTGATGAGTCGCACATGTTGCAAGTTCCTTTGAGAAACGGAACAGCTGTAGTTTTTTTGGAGGAAAAAACACCCACACCCCTCTAATTACCTGTGCCAGATATAGCCACACTACGCCCGTTTCGATACACTACTAACATGCTGAACCACAAACTCACTACACTACGTTATCTCATTGGGATGCATACATCTGCTTACTCTAGTACACGCATGCTTATTTGGGGACATCGTTATTCAATGATGCATAAACTCTTTGGCTGCCTTTGCTGGTAAACAAGTTATTTTTAACAAGGTTAACCATTGCGCCATTTTCCTGTGTCCATAAAGTCGAATAGTATACCGTGGCTAGCTGTATAATAATATATGCATACTTATGTATGTCCTCACACAGTATTGCCTTTTTAGTGGTATATACATGTACTTGTGCACACACAGCAAGTGTGGGCATTTGAGTGGCTGGAGCAGTGTTGGTACACAAGCAATGCTGGGTGCAGCGGTGAACTTACATTTGGCTAATTTGGCCGAATTGTCTCGGCAAGTCACCTGATTAAGAAGCAATCAGTGGCTCAGCCGAGTGCACACAGTGTCTCAGGCATTCAAACAATGAAACTCAAAATGAGCGCTTTGCCTTATTAGACAGGTGGCTAGTTTGGTGAGTGTTTGTGTCTGTCGCTGCAGGTGGTCCATTCCAGTTGGCAACAGCTACTGCTGCTGGTGGTGGTGGTGGTGGTGGCAGTGGAAGAGACAAGTGGCCTGCCTCTTCTGGGCCACCTCACGGACCAGTGGAACACGAAGAGTAACGTATTGCCATGTTACATAATTATGTGCTATTTCACTGCCCACTGTGTACATGTGTGTCTCACCCACTTCCCGTGATGTATGATATTGTTTGTTTCAATTGTGTAATCATAGACTATCTCGATATCGTCATGTATTATACGCACACAAACGTGTATTTTTATGACCACTGCATTGAATTGTACTCTATCATCAATCAGATAAATATCAGTCAGATGGTTTACACTGTCATTGACAACACGAAATCAACAATGAATAGAGATTGGATGAATTTACAGCTAATGAGGGTTCAGATGCTGCTACATGTAGCTGTTTTTAATAATCTTCTGGTCTTTATCAGGAACCCTGCAAACCAACAAAGAGCGAGAGATGATGTACACACATGACTCCCATATACCGAATGACTGTGGTCTAATTACTGAATGCCAGAGGTGCGTATAAGATGGCCATGTGTGGGGCACATTGTTAGCCACACTTCCAGACTGTACATGGGAGCAACATCTGCTCCCCACCACACACACCACTCACAGGCCATACAACAGTTTCTGAACACGTCACACGTAATAAGACGGTTGCAGAAAAATTACGTAACAGACACTGAAAGCAAATGGGGTATTCATCCCTGTTTGAAATCACGGCACTAAGATGGCTTTAGGTGTTTTGTACGCGTACACGTGGATGTGTCTCTTTTACAAACGAAACAGTGGCCCAAATGGTGTGTACAGGTGTGGAACAGTGCCCCAACATACGCAGCAGGAAGCAGTGTTGGTCATGTGCCCCTGTATCTACAGCACCTACACTATCAAAAGGATAATCCTTTGCTACTGCATTCAAGCCTAAAAGCTTCAACTAATTGTGTATTATACATGTATTTCTGTAGGCCTTTGTAACGTCTGCCTGGAACATGAAAAGCACTGTGCATGCAGGTACAACTAATTGAACGGTTGGGCCAAGTGTATGCGTTTACTCGTGGTCTCCACGCTAGCTGGCGCAGAGTCTGACACGGGCTATATATCTACACACTAGTAGATAGCATGCGGGAGCCAATACACACCCTTCGTTGTTACTTCTTGGGCCTCCAAGGTACACAGAGCGAGCGGATCAGGTCGCGGTAAGTCCAGTGCGATTATGCATATTGGCTTTTTTGCATGTTTTCACGGCATACAGTATCTCTCGAAGGCAGTCTTTTCAGGAAAATCGCTGTGCATGCGCTGAGGGTTATAACATGCATGAAATTGGGTAGCAACCCTGAAGCATGTGACTAAGAAAGTCCCCACTTGCCACCCTCTCCACATGATATCTGCCACTATGTACACAGTACACTTATGACCCTCCAACCTAGACAATAGCCAAGGGCAGTTCACTACAACTTGAGGTCTGTCTGTGTAAGCTAGACCTCAAGTGACCCAGCCACAACAGACAGCTGCCACTAGTCACACTCCACGCTCTAGAGCACAAGTAGGTGACAAGAGTACTTGATGGCACTTCACAAATGAAGGCCCAAAAACAACAGGTTGTATCAAGCCCTGATATCGCACTCGCCACTCAGTGGTTATACATGCTGTCTCGAGTATTGTGGTGCGTGTTCGTAGTTGAGGTGTGCATGTTGTGTGTGTGTGTTTGTGTTGTGAATGTCAGCCTGCTACACATAATAGGCTACATGCAAGCTACAGAATGCTAAGCTCCAGGCTTGTGTCTTTAGATTAGGTCTTGGATTTGGTCAGTACAATCCCTTGTTTTTGAAAACTAGGCTACAGGTTAGATTCACAATTAATAAATGCTAGACTAACATGATTGTAGAATGCTAGGTTCCATGAATTCCTGGCTACTAGGCTATGTAAATGCCAGGCACCACACATGTAGGCACCACCAATAGTCACCTTTCCTAGGCTCTGAAAAATTTAGGAACCGCCAATGCTATAATATGTAGTCACCATTCACCACCAATGCTAGGCTCCAAAAGATGTAGCCACCCCCAACACAATGAATGCTAGACACCAATGAATGCTAGGCTCTACATGATTACATCAGAGATCTGACCGCGGGACAAGACCGCAGGCAGTGGAGAGAGAGAGGCCACACAGGCCACCACCCACCACACACTGCTCCCGACAACAAACAGCAGGCTGAATGGATTAAACCAGCTCCTGTGGCCACAGCCACACAATGCACACCAGATCCCCTGCCAATGCTCCATGTCTATCTGGCGAGGTCCACGCATTACTTCCCCACTCAGCCACCACTAACACAATCCTAATCCCTGTGTGTGTGTGTTGTGTTATATATGAGGGTGTGTAGGAGTGTGTGCCATAAATCCAGTACATCCAAGTGACAAATCGGAATATATAATATTTCCTCCTGGCATGTGAAAGCTACTGCACGTTGGAGCAAGAAAGGTATTGCACAGAGCAGATGCCCAGTCCCAGATGCGTCAGTTACGATAGCACCCTTACAAAATCCACTGCCTGGGGATAACTATGACTACAATAGCGTAAAACTAATCAGCCGCTGTGCCATTGTGTGGTAATTATCGTTTCTTACAGCAGCAGATAGAGTTTCAACATTCCAGTCTAATCAAATCTTTCAGGGAAGGTTGACTCTGGGCACGCTGTTTGCTTAGTGGCCATTCTTGTGCCACAGAGAATTCTTCACTCTGATTGGTCAACTGCACGTGACTGAGGTCTAATGACTGTTTTACTTTTCGCAAAATCTCCATTCATTAGTAACAGCCTAACCCACTTCATAGGGAAGATTTATCTTTGGATGAAAATTATTAATCTAAAAGAAGGGAGTTTCCCCATGCCACAATTACTAATTGGTATACACACCCACCAGAATGAGGTGATTGTCTGTGATTGGGTCGACAGATATAGCTCAGGGATGACACGGCGGTAGCTCCATTGACCTCTGTACTCTCTTTGCCGGTACTTTCCTCTTCAGTTCTTGAGCCCTGACTGCCCCACTCGGAAGAATCTGCCCTTTCATTATCGGGGGTAACGAGGCGTTTTGTGCGTGAGGGTTTGACGGTCCAGTGCTCCTGACAAACTCTAACAATGTCCTCAGTTTGCAGAGGCAGCTCCGTTTCCCTGATATAGGCATCCACCTCCACAGCCTGGGTAATGCTGCATGGCAGACAAGGCAGTTTCACTAACTGGCGAAAAAACACGATTCATATGTTATGGGTGGTGAGCATGTGTGGCAGACGATGTTTACACAAAACTATGATGATGAGTTTAAATATTGACCACATGAAAATTTAAAATGTAAAACTTATGTACTTGGCCATGTGTACTGAACCCAACTTTCAAGTACATGTAACAATGATAATATTTGTTGAGTACTATATACTATTCGTAGGAGACAGTAGTGTCAACACATCTATGGGTCGTGGATCTCCCTGTCTCCCCACAGAGACATGTAGTGAGTACACACACAGGGACCGGGGACCAGACTGTGTGTGTGTGTGTGTGTATCTGTGACACTCGGCAGGGGTGGCCAAGTCAGAGTGAGTCCAATATGGAGATTGTGTGTGTGTCCTGCAGTAAACAGAGCGAGTGGGAGTCCAGAGCAGTCACTCCTTTCATTCCCCAGTCTGTTTTCTTCCCCCTCACAAAACAGTGCCGGTTTATTTACTTGCGTCACAGCCAGCTCCATAATGGGGAGAGGTAATTCCTATGAGTTATTGCTGCCATATATACTAGCCCACCACTCATCGCAGTTTTCCTTATCCAGAGGATTCGCTAACGGTATCAGATATCTTGCTGGCTACCACAGTTCTTACCGTGTGACATACTTAATACAGTACTGAGGGGCCCGTCACCAGTAACACATACATACAATCTCTGATTCATGTATGTATACAAGGAAAACCGCTTGTGGGATAACTTGATGTGCTTCAAGTATAAACAAAGCACCGTGTGTGAATTTTGCACATTGTACGAAATTACATGAAAACACCCTCTCGCATCTCAATGTAACCTTCTGCCGAGAAATTGGCAGAAGAATGCTAGGCTAGACATGATACATAGGTAGAGTACATAAGACGTACAAATGCCAAGCATGCACAGCATTGGATTGATTCGGTGCTCAAGTCACGTAGACAAACAGATACCAGCAATGAGATCTATTAGACTGTGAAACGTTATCCTGTGAGGCAGAGCTTCGTACACCACTTCTTAACCACTACCAGTCACACGATGCCTCCAGCATGACATGCTATACTGACTTCAAAGCCATCCCAGCCTGGCTATAGGCTGTACGGTGCTTGCCAGATTAATCTGGATTGTATGAAATGAGCAGAGTCTCCTGAAAATTTTCAGCACTTGGATACCTCTCAAATCTGCTCTATCTGAATAATTGGTAGGAAGGAACCAATTACAGGACAATTACAGGACAATTCCCCACCAAATTTGTACCCGGAAATTGTGTCTGTCCAGGCATAGAGCTGAGGCCAGATGAAAACCTTTGGACCACACAGCATTTGTTAGTGTGTTCTCTGAAAGAAGTGGAATTCCCTAGGAAGTGGAATTCCCTAGGAAGGCACAAGTCTGTTGAAAAATTAACCACACCTAGATTGTTAGTCTTATATACAGTCCAGGAAAGTATTACATATACCACCATAGACGGTTAACCCCATAGACACTGCGATCACTCTGGTACTATTATTAGAGTCTTCAACACCTCACTGTTCCTAGGAAACCACTAAAATCTAAGGGATTGTGTTACAGCTTGCTGTCGGTGTGTCAGAGGAGTGACTATAGGCCATGGTAAGAGTCACCAAAACTGAGCTGGCCAGCAGCACCCTAGGCCCTCCCCCAACGTGAGAATGTGGTGCTATTATGGCAGGCCGTGTGCAGGAGACCATTTGGCTGGTCGGCGACCACTACAATAGTCTCACCTCAGGCCCCTACAGGGAGACAAGGCCACACAGAGCCCTCTGAAATCCCTGGCAAAAGGGCTTCCCTGGTTACCAGAGAACCTAGTGACCTTAGAGCTTTGGAATTGCAACAATCCCCATACATGCACTCAGTGTTCAGTGGCGCCAATGGCACAACCTGACATACTTATGTAACTTCCTTGTAACCATAATTATAATATCACTCACACTTATTGGCAAATTGAGTTTCCACATAATTATTACTTCCACAACCGAACATTACGTTTCCATGTTACAATTTTTCCTGGTGTTTTCGCATTGGGGTAAACCAAATATAATCTTCAATTGAAATGGAAGGTATATCTGTATTACGACTCAGAGCAAGTTGATCATGGGCCCTATCCAAACAGCTACATACATAGGTAACCTCAGATCCTGCTCAGGAGCTCCAGGTGATATGGTGAGATGATACAATGACTCCTAGAGTGGTGAGCGAGGAGGCTATTGTTTACTGTGGTGACCACCACAGCTGTGTGCTAGCTCCCAGAGGTCCCCTGAGAGTTGCGTAACCTATCATAAGCACTCCTTGCAACCTCTAGTAAGGTCTGTGTTACATATGGACATACAGTGGAACCTGCCTAAAACGATAACCTTGATCACATCTCTAAAGAAAACACATTTGTTTTGAAAATGCCAAACTTTTTCTTTTGACCTGGACATCACACACTTTACTGTGCAAGACTCTTCCTCTTTCCTAACACAGTTAGCAAACTGAGTAGAGCAAAAAGGGGAAGTGTCATTATGTCAACTGTAGAAAGCTCAAGTAAGCAGAGTTGAGCAGATATTAAAAAAACACCAAAGAACGTACGTATTAAATGCCGACTACGTGCACAGAAAAATGGGTCTGCACCGCAGTCACTGGTGCACTGCATGCAATAAAAGTGATCGACATTTCTGTTTCAATGTCAGCACAAGGTTTATCACTCTGAATACTAAGCAGCTGTGATCAGGTATATAAACTTGGAGTAACACTCAACTCATTATGTGTCATCAGCCAAGATTCTACTAGAGATCACTACGAGATTATACTGCTGGTAGTAGTTACCATTGTATTCATAAGTGTGTGTATCTAGTCAAGTTGAACACATGACTATCCATCAGATTGTTGAGAGTAAGAGAATCGTCTCTACACTGAGTTGTAGAGTAGCAACACAGATTACTGCAAGTGTGAGTGTGCAGGTTTATACAAAGGTGTGATTGTGCACAATGTCATGTGAAGGCCTGTTTTTAAAGAGGGCAGGCTAAAAACTATCCACTACCTCTGACTGTAGATACGTACTTACATCCAAGAGCACCAGAGCTCTGCAAAATCAATAGCTCAGTTGACTAAGAGGATAAATACTCAACAAAGTGGGACTAGACCTGCTACGTACATATGTACTAGAGATGACCACTGTAACTATTGAGTGACACTGTCATACCTACGAACCCGAATAATTTTTTGAGAAGTGCTGTAAAATTCGCTTCATTTGCCTCGAAAATGCTGTGCTATGCTCCTTCAAAATGTATTGGCAAGAGGTATGCACTGTGGCAAGTGAGTTGGAGGACTAGTGAGACTCACTAGGAGGGAGAGTAAGTTAGTTGCTAAGAAGAGGAGGGCTCACTTGGGCAGGAACAGTACAGCCAGTCCATTAGGCTGGAGGATATCTACCAGCCCTGTCAGAGCAGACGTCACATGGGGCATATCCAGGAACACCTGCAATTAAAACAGCAGAATAAGTTGCTTGAATCACAATATATACACAATAAAATATCAAGCTTGTGTTTACATGTATATTTAACCAATTATCCCTAAGTTGTAGATGGAAGAGCAGTAATTCAGTAGTTGCCTTGTTTAGCTTCTTTTCACAAAACACTGCACTATCTATTTACCAAGAGTCAAATACTTAGCCATGTTTGACACATACAACAACCCACCAAAAATCGGCATGGACTTTAATGCATTGTTGTGCTTGTGTGTATGGTCATGTATGAGTATTGCCAGCCAGGTCCACACACTACAGTGGAGGGTTTCTTCAGTTACTACTTTGACCTGGTGTTGTGTACATATAGTGTATCATTTTCCCAGACCTGAGCCCTACACCATCACACACACACACACATCACATAGAGGTATGCAGCTACTACAGTACCCAGTGGAATGCTGCAGCCTTTGAATGCTGCAGCCTTTGAATGCTACAATACGATACGCCCAAGGCCTGTCCGTGTGGTCAGATTGAAATGTTTTTTGTCACTACCTGAGGCCTTGTGGGGGAAATTCTCGCAGTGTTTGTGGGAGGCTAAAAATGCGGTGGGACTGCGAGCTCCAAATGGTAGATTCAATCAGTCCCTAAATGAGCACATAGAACGTAGCACCGAGCACAGCAAATGAGGTGTGAAGAACTCACCCATACCTCAACACACACACACAGACACACATACAAACGCACACATGCGCATGCACACTAGAGCGAAGTATACACAAGACAGTTTTTCCTATAGAGGAAGAGAGTGAAGTCAGAGTAAGTGGTGAGTACTACATATGTAGTACACTGTACATGCAGGTGTGTAAAATATATACATGTCCAGAGGAAAAGCCACTTTGTTCACTCCTGAAAACTCCCACCACATGGCCACAGTTGCCCCATAATAGGCCATTCAGCATGCTAAAGAGTGATGAAATTTCATTGGGTTTCTGAAAAAGGTAATCTTCTTATCTCTGCTATGGAGTCCAAAGCAAACAGAGATAACCAGAGGGAACCACACAGTCCTTACTCTACTATATACCCACCACAGGGGAAGTTCATTGACCCACCGAGATATACAGTGTGCTAATGTTGGGTTCAAGAACAGTCAACAACTCTGCTAAAGCAAATGTTCATCTGTGAGTGATAGAGAGCAAATCCAGCTAGAAAACGTGACTTTTTTATGCAACGTGCAGAGTTGGTGTGATACAAAAGAGAGAAGACAGCACGTGTGAAGGCTGCAGTGCTTCATATGTACCAATCAACTGTTGGTGAGTGAGTGAGATTTGATCCACCAACACACTTAGGGTGGGGGAATCGATCCACACCTTCTGTTTTATACACAGAGGCTCTACATGCCAACAGAGTCTAGTCAGCCCTTGGCAGAGAGATATTGCCTCCAGCAGACACGAGATATTATATCACTGTGCTGACTCATAGGCCCTCGCCACAATTGAATCACATACTGTCACCCAATTTAGGACTTTTTCACCAGTGAATGGCAGCGCTCCAAGAAGAGTAGGGAGAAAGGACGGCTCTGAGTCACGCAATAGAGAGCGATGCACACTTACACCGCCCACAATGCTACCCATTTCACGTGAGAAAGAAACGTCATTAGTTCTCATTTGTAGACCCTTCAGAAGCACTCGATGCCACTACAGATGTCAAATGCTGGACACAGTGGGTGGGAGTGTGTGCGGAGAGATCGTGGTCTCTGCACAGTGCACCAATCACCAATTCTCTGATTAACAGAGCAATCGTCGGATTGCCTCTGCAGCACCTCCCCTTGCCTCTTGTTCTTTCCCTGGAGGCTGGAGGTGCCAGGGGCTCCAATCCACCCAGAGTAGCTCGCTCTAAGTGCCCTCATTATCATGAATGGCCCTCAAGAGCACTTCAAAAGAGCCAATTGAGTGTTGGATCAAGAGCCATATTCCCCTCCCAACCGATTGTGAAACCTACACCATACAAAGAGTGTGGACATTATGCACATTGTCTTGGGTTCAAGCCACACCCAGGACAGATCTCTGCGTTGTCATAGTGTCTCGGATGGGTTTTCTTTACATTTACCTTGCTTTCATATATACCTCACTCAGATTCCAATACACAATATTTTGCACATTACCAAAGTAATATAAAAGCACATTTACAAAGTCATTAATAAAACTCACAGCATCGACAAGTGGGTCCTCCTCCAGGTGGTCCCTAGCGTCCTGAACCCCGGCAGAGTGGAAGGTGATGTTATCCGGCCACGTCTGCCCCTGGTCGCTGTGACTGAGGTCCCAGGACCGGGTCCAGCCAGCCACGTTCCTCCTGGCTATCTTCAGGTGATCCGGACACACCTCGAAACTGAAGACACGCCCATCCTTACCAACTGAAATGAAACCACACAGTCTCGGTGACGTGTTGTAGCTGTTTGGCATTCTGAAACTGCTCACACTCTTATCAAGGGCACAGAACGACAAACAAACATGCAGCGTTTGCTGAAAAACTAGAATGGGGCGGTATAAACAATTGGAACATACATACATCACTATACTCACACATACGAGCAATTGAACTCCTAATTATCAAGTTCATGCATACATGCAAGAGATTCACAGTGGAACATGAATCTTGACCCGTACTGTGTGTCTGAAATACTAGTCTACATAAATATCTGTGGGAAGCCTGCCATTTCAGCAGTACACGCAGCTACAGTCGTAACACATTATAGCTCTTATGGGGTTTAGGAATCAACAAAATCTCATTTCTACAGAATGTAGCTGACACATGATGGGTGTGGAAGCAGTTATGCATTGGCTATACCAAATGCTACTTGAGGTTACACAGTATTATACCTATAGGCCAGCTATTGGCTTTGCAGGTCTTCATTTCGTGAGTCAGAGATAGAGAGGAAGTTTATACAACCAGTGGGATTCAAACACATCCCTTTTATCGGTTTGGACACATAACTAGACAAGGGCACTACAAGTTAGCTACACATACACTCCACAGAAGAATACTACATTCTTAATTTCTGCAAGAATTCTCACAGTTTTTGTTGGCTTGTGAGATCGTATGAAATTGTATACACTGCTCCAATGAGCCAAGCTGGAGCTAGAGTAGTTTACGATCGTGTGGTGAGTTTTCTGCTAGAGAAACTCTGAGAGAGATATCTCTCACACACTGTGAGTATTCACCACTTCCTGGCCCTGTCACTCCACTACCAGGGAACTCCACAGGAAGTCAACTCAGGCCTACTACACCAGCTCCCATACATTCAGTACACTGCCCTCAATGTCAACAGGTGTAGTCAGCTAAAAATGTTGTCAACCTGCATCATTCGCCTAACCCACAAAGCCACACAGTCACATCCAAAAACTCCCCTCTTCCTGCAAAGCCAATAGCTGGCCTATAGGTATAATACTGTGTAAAGGAGGAAACCTCGAGTAGATGAACAGACAGAAGCCCATGCACACTAATGCAGTGAGAGGACATAGACTAAAACAAAGAGAAATGGATACCTGTCTGCCTCCCCTAGCAAACTCCACACAAATCACTATAAGCAGTAATCATAATCACAGTGCAACCCCATATAATGGACACTGCCACCTATGTACTTCTTTAGTGAACCTCCAACTAAAGGATTTTTATGCACCGTGTCGTCTTTGATTAATCAGTGTGTGTGTGCATGTGTGGGTCAGTTCTGCATACGTGATGTACAAACAGTGCATTATCGCCCCTCCTTGATCTCTCACCAAACAAACAATTTCATTGTTGTATCTGCATGCAGCACATATCAAAAGCAAAATTGCAGACTTTTCAATCACACACACGCACACACAAACTGTACACATCTATATACGCACACCGTCCCATGTCAACATAATAACATACACCCTACATAATGATATGATTAGTTATCTAGCAACAACATAGCTGCTTTAGATACTAACAGAGGAAGGCCACTGGAAGTGTACTCTTCCCAACAAACTACAGACGTAAGCAGTTACGATTTTTCTGACGCTCCCATCATAACAGAAATGTACAGTAAGTGCACCATGTGCCATGGCTATGCTCAAATAGCATGTGAATAAACAGATTCTTGCGTTTGGATAAACTGCCGTGATCTTAGCAACAAGAACACTCCGTAGGGCCATGGACTGCAACAGCAGTGTTCATGCTAGCTACATGTGAAGTGAAAGTGAAATTTTACACTTGGCAATTGTACGACCGACTCGGTTTTTCTTGGGGGTTGTCTATTGCTGCTAATACAAATTTTCGAAGTTGACACCAGGGAGACTGTATGTTTCTTTGATTGTGACTCAGTTATGTGTATTATTCTAGTTAGAGGGAGTGCAAATGTATTGCTGCTACTGGTAAACGTTGTATACATGTACGTAATAAAATCTAAAAGTTTGCAATCTGTTGCGTTGTTTGCGGCCAAAAATGATAACGAGATGGAAACAACACGTGGGGGGCTAGAGCCCCATACTGTATATATTATGACGAGAGGAGGAGGGAAGATATGGGGAGGTGAATGTGGAGGAGGTACGGGCACTGTGCACGCCAGGCAGAGGAACAGAGGGATACCAGCTCCACACATGGACAGACTACTCAACACAGCATTAGGTGCTTCTAATTGAGTTACACTGTACATCACGACGAGAGGTACAAACAACAGAGATGAGACTGCACGATACATGTTGAGGATAGTACAGTACCGCCACAGGACACCTCAGTAATTGGGAATTATGGCATCCTGAAATCTGTGTTTGTACACCTCAATCTCCCGGTCTCTGCCTCAGTAAGTACTAAGACTACCTGGAGTCTCAGCCAAAGGCATGATTATACAGAGACACAACTTCCCATCGTGTCTCGCGTACACACACAGTGTTCCGGCTACTTAGTAAAACTCAGTTAACAGCTGGTGAGTAACCACACCGGCACCTCTTTGACTAATTACGTGACTAATTGCAGGAGGATTCCCCGGTATTATGAGAACACGCACGCAAACAAAACCTGAGGATTACATATACACGAATTACATGTATAAGAGTGCCTGGCATAACTTAATTCGAAATCCCTCAGAAATCAAGAGAACGAAATTTCAAACAAGCAACTTAATGTCTTAGACGCAGCTCTAACCCTCATTACACCACACATTATAGAACGATTCTTATGCTTCAAGATAACCGAGCAAGTCATTCAATGTGCCTATGTACATGTCTCTTACAGGAACACTACTTGTAAAATGGGAAACGAATTGGCAGTTGGTGTAGGAGGAGGAGGCAGAGGCCGGGCTTCCTCCTGACTTCTCTCCTCCTGACTCCTGACAATAGGAGCAGTGTCCCCCCAAGCAGGGCAGTAATATGGGAGACCCTGTCAGATGGGATGGTAACGAGCCTTTACCAACCTATTCCCTTACCGCACAGTGTGTACGAAACAACCTACAAAATTGTTCTTTCTGTTCTTTTGTGACTTTCGTTAAAGAGCCGAAAAGTGCCCCTATGGTGAGATATATACTCTGCAATTGGTGGCGCTGACGTGCAAAGCAAAAGCAAATCATGTGCTGATTATTGCAGGAAATGGTTGATCCTATACATGTATAATATATACACACACGGTAGCTGAGGTTCAATCACACACAACACATGTGGCATCAAAACTCACTCGTGTACGACCCCATCGTCAAATACACATTTAGCCTCTTTAACCTAGTACACAGTTTTTATACAGAAACAAATGTACGCTAATCACAACGTGTATGTGTGTGTGGTGTTCACCTACTCTTGACAGATGTAAGGTCATAGCACCAGATCCTGTACCGGCCTCCACGACCTTTGACCCAGGGCCAATGTCCAACATGCAGATGGCAGTGTATATGACGCTGCAGTAGGAGGGTGTGGCCCCACGGGACATGAGGAGAGTGTACTCCTCAAGGCTTGGCCTGCGGAGTGTCACCTTCCCTCCCAGACTGGTACGAAGCTGTACCCCGACCTCCTGTCCGATAACGTTGGTGTGTCTGAGTCGGCCCAGGCTCGTCTCTGTTTCCCTGGCGGAGTCAAGTTTGATGAGCCGTGGTTTGTGGCGACGTCGTGGCTCCATCAACAGAGCCAGTTCTCCGTCTCGGAAGACATGGGAAGCAGTGGTCTGTGGTCTACTGACCATGGCCTGGAGCACCACATGTCTCAGTCTTCCAGGGCCTCTCAGGATTCTCAGCCCAGGGCCCATCAGGATTCTTGGTCTGGAGGAAGAGGAATACATGATAGTGGGAGGGTCAGTTAATTTACCAGCCGCCCCGCCCAAAACGTAATCTCACACCTGCAGTGGATCATCCTCTTCATCAGAGCCAAGGTGACCTGCGGTGCAGCAAAACTAACTCCACGTGGAGTCAGAGCGCAGTCGGCCGGCCAGATGAGGACGTGACGGCCGCCGGACACCCATTCGGTCACTTAGCAAACCGCAAGCGCTAAACAAACCGGAAGTGGCTGCCATATTTGGAGCGGCGTTTGCGCTCGAATTCTCAGTTAGATAAATTTTCAAGGTCTCGGCGCTTCCTCCCCGCTCTTTGGCCGTCTAAGCGTGTCTTTCCTTGTAAGGAGAATTGCGGCAGCCAAGTCGTATAAAAGGATGAGTAGCTCGGGGAAGGCTCAAAAAAACGCGCCTAAAAACAAAGGCAAGCAAGCAAGCGTAGCTAATCGCACCACTACCGTACCTCAGTCTAGGAAGTTCAGTGCTGCTGGCCAGCCTGCTGGATCGACTTCATCAAACATGCTCGGAGAAAACCGATACACCCCCAACCCGACTAACCCGGACCCCTTCGCCCCTTCCCTTCCCCCCTTTCCCGACTCCAAGAACCACATGGACAACGACGAACGCTCAAGTGTAAGCGACAGCGACGACACTGCACTCGCAGGAGACAAGCCCCTTCCCGCGCCGGGCAAGAAGACCCGAGGCCGCGTGAAGATACAGATGGAGTACATCCAGAACAAGCTACGACGCTACACCACCTTTTCTAAGAGAAAGTCAGGAATGATGAAAAAGGTAGGGGGTTCATTTTGGTTTAGCAAACGTTTTCTTTGCTGGCTTTTGTCAACCCGCGGGTTGTGTTCGTGTACCGCGATCAGCGAATTTTTTTATCTTTCTCCCTACTTTTTTTTCCAGGCATACGAACTGAGCACCCTAACTGGGACACAGGTGATGCTGCTGGTGGCCTCCGAGACTGGCCACGTCTACACCTTCGCCACCCCCAAACTCCAGCCCATGATTACCAGCGAGGCGGGCAAGGCCCTCATCCAGACGTGTCTCCACCAACCGGACCCGGCTCCCATGAACCAGGGACCACACCAGGGAGACTTCAACGTCCGCATGTCCTCCACCGGCTACGAGGAGACGGACCTGGGCTACAGCGGTCTCGGCGAGGAGGACTCTTTCAAGGTGGGACTTTAGTTTCTGTGCTGTGTGCGCCCCACCAGTTAGCTAGAGTGTTCCCGAACGGGGAAAGGCTTCCTTTTTCAAAAAGAAGCGTTCCCGAGCTCCGTATACGTCGCCCCTGAGCCGTTTTGGCTAGCAGCCAGAAGCTGCGTCTCGTACGGTGTATAATTGGTGGGTAATTGCGCAATGTCAATTTGGTCGTTACTGACGGCATTCCAAGGATTCCTTAGCGTGGAGGCGCATCTGTTGTTGACACTGGCGAACTGAGCTGTGTAATGTGTAAACGGATTTTTAAATTCTCTCTCTCTCCTTCCTGCAGAACGGCATGGACATGCACATCTCCAATGCAGCAGCCATGCCCACCATCATGAACCCGGGCCCCATCGTGACCATCCCCCATGGGATCATGCAGATGCCGTTTCCGGTCTCTCTGTCAGAGTCCGTGATGACCACCCAGCCCATGATGCACTCGATCCAGACCCTCACGTCCACCCCGCAGACCATGAGCCCCCACACCTCCCCTCCTCCCAGCTACTCCCCACCGCATCAGCCGTCCAGCCCACCGCGGACCTACACCCCCGTCTCGTACCCAGGGAGCCCGCCCACCCAGGGCCCCACCTACTCCCAGGCGTCGGTCCCCACCCACGTCTCGCACGCTGTGATGGGCATGGAGGAGCTAGGGTCGCCAGGTCACCTCCACCACGCCATGGACCCTTACGAGAGGAGCCCCAGCAGATCCCCTATCCACAGTAGATACAGCCCACACGTGCAACACTCGCCCAGGACTGTGTACACTATCTCAAATGGCAGCCCACCTATGCGACTCTAAGAACTCTGTCACTCCCTGCTGTCATTTTTTTCCGTCATCCCCCCGCTCTTACATGTGTCTGTTTCTCTTGTTCCACCTCTCTCGCCTCATAGCCTGTCTCTGTTCTATGGACTCTCCCTCTAACCGTCTCCATTTGTATCCTCGAGCTGGTCTCCATACGTCATATGTTCTGTGCCAGGAAGCTGGGCTTCCGACTGTTTTGTGCTTTGTACCTCTGCCTTTCACACTGTTTATCTTTGTAAGCACTTGTGTAACACTAAACACGGTTGCGCTGGCGCAACTTTCAACGGGAAGGCAGGTACTTCCCCCCCCCCCCCCCTTCTTCTCTCCTATTATCCTTAGCACGCTCCCTTTTGAAAATTGAAACTGGAGAAAATTTTTTTTCTAAATAATTATATATATAACCACCTTGACATCTCTGCAGGCGCATTTGTGTTTCTCAAAGCATGCTATTATATGCAAAGCACTGGTTATTGGCAGTACATGAGGTGCTGTTTTAGTCACAAGAGTGTAGAAGGCTTTTCAAGCTGATTGACTGATACACAGGCAAACAGGGGTATGTGTGTGGCGTGAGCAGACAGAACAATAGTCATTGAATACGTGGAATGTGATGACTAACAGACATGCTTGCACGTACTCCTACAGGTGCTCTTGTACAAAATGTGTAGCCCTTCACCTGAGTTCCTAAGAGGATTCATGTATCCATAGGCCACTTTTTATCATATTCATTATTCTGAAACTTGGACTCTTACGTGTGTGTACTTTGACCCAACGGACAATCTTGTATCCATGACCACAGTATGAAGACTGTGCTATGTAGTTCAATTGAAGGTTGTGGTGATATCTAGGTAAAGTTATAGGGTTGCTGGAAATATGGAGGAGGAAGGTTGTGGTTATAACAAGGGAGGAAGTAGTGTAGGCATAGAGGAAAAGCTCACTGGCTTTCCCGCTTGGAAACCTGGTGAATACATTAGCTACTGGGAAGTGGTGGGAAGTGGTGGGAAAGCAGGACTGTGTGTCTGTCACTGAGCTGGAGAGTCTTACATTGGTGACCTTGGTTGTGGGTCGTTATTGTGTCATCATATCCATATGTACCACTTTGTCCTGGCTAGAGGTATTGGCACTCCAGGCTGATCAACCACTTTGATTCTTATGTATACAGGTCAAGTAAACTCACCAACTTCACAAACATGGATTATAGTGTACAGTTGTACCCTTGAAAACACACAGATAAAGTGACAATTGGGTAGGAAGGAAGTCCTTATTACTGACTTGAATGACCACTGGCAGTAGACGAGAGAAAATAGCTATTTTATATGGGTTTTAGTTCATTTCTATATAGGGTGCACAGTAGTTCCAACCTCGCACTCCCTCTGTGACCTGTGCTACCAAGAGAAACATATCCACTTTAGTGAGCTTTACATTATGTAGCATATAGCGTGTAGATTACAGTCTTGGGGACCCAGACCCTGTTGTAAAGGCAATGGGAGACCTCCTTTAACAACAGGGTCCGGGTACGCAGACTATACCAAAAGGTGAAGAAAGAATTGTATTTATAAGTACAAGTGACTGCACGTACAATCAGATTCACTATCGACCGAGTGATACTACATAGTACTGAGTCATGCGCAGCGGACTGGAAAAACTGTGCATGACATTGGAGCA